AATATCGTAATTACCTGAATAAAGCCAAGTGCCGGGGACCTAAGTGGTCACCTTAATATATAAAAAAAAAAAAAAAACAAAGATAACTTTATTTATATATGATTCGAAATTTTGAATTTGGCCGCAGCTTTTTTTTTAAGACATCTAAACTTTGAACAAATGTTACTCAGCACTTACTGGGTCAAATTCGATCAGTTTTTTTTTTTTATATTAATTCTATGAGCTTATAGAATTAAAATAAAAAAATTTGATCGAATTCGATCAGGTAATATTCGTTCAAGTCTAGGCGCCTATAAAAAAAACCGCGGCCAAATTTTTTTTAACTTTTAATGAATATTTCTCGACAATCTGCTATTCAAATTCGATCAATTTTTATTTTTTTTTATTTTATGAACTCAAAGAACCAAAATAAAAAAAAGTTCATCAAATTTGAAAGTTGGTTGTTGAAAAATATTTGCTTAAAGGAAAATTTACTCGATTTTGGTTTTTTTTCGATATTTTTTTTTTAAAAACTTTTACAATGGTCTCTCGATATCTATTGAACAAAATTCAATGAGGCTTTTTTTATTTTATAGAATCAAAATAAAAAAAATATTACTGAATTTGGTCAAGTAGCTATTGAGAAATTATCGCTAGAAGTTTTAAAAAACTTTAGATTTATTATTAGGATCTGCGCCACAGGATCTGCACAGAATTCATACGTGCATCTTCGACATGTCGGCCGACTGTTCTTATGCTGGCGCGAAAATAAACCTCTACCTAAACCAATATAATGTTTAACAACTAATTCTGTAATATATTACATAATCTACTAATATATGCACTACGTATACGGTTATACATATACTTGCTGGTCGTAAAACCCGGACAAATCCAAAATTCCACAAAAGATTAAGTCAAACAAATAATCTTAATATTTTGCAAATATATTATCTATAACTATATATAATATATATATACAATAATACATATACTATCGCTATATATCGATATTTTGTTTTAACAAAGATTATTAATAAAGTTTTTTGAACTTGGACAAATTCAAACTATCGCTATATATCGATATCGATATATAGTAATTTGGGATTTGGGCGGCAAGTACGTATATCAATACCGATACATTAACCTAATTAAGTATACCTGCGGCAAGGCATCCAAAAATTTGGTTTCTATTACTAATAATTTGAACCAATTTATTGTACACGGTATAAAAAATTTTTTTAGTATCAACTATTTTAAAAACAGTACAGTACCAAGTTCTGTTTCCGCCTAAACGTATTTTAAACTGCCTTTTTGCTTTATGAAATATATTGACTTGAAACACGTCCGAAAATTTTAATAACTTATCGCTATGTTCATGAAATTTCTACATCCCTGAGTTAGCCACTCTCAGCCACGACTACAATATGTTTTTTTTTCTTTGTCCATATGACAGTTATTTACGTCATCTATGCTTGCGTGATGTATTCGTAATACTGCGGCTGCGGAACTTATAAAACGTTTTAATACTGTAACCTTTATCAGATCTTCCTTTTTCATCATACAATATACAGGTAAGAACGTTGATGTTATACGACTGATTTTTCACACGATGTGCAACATATAAAAAAATAATTTTACAATACCAGATCATTCCGCTAGTACATGTTATGATTATAATCCAACACCATTTTTACTAATAAAAATGGTGTTGGATTATAATCATAACATGTACTAGCGGAATGATCTGGTATTGTAAAATTATTTTTTTATATGTTGCACACCGTGTGAAAAATCAGTCGTATAAAATCAACGTTCTTACCTGTACATACAATAACGATATGTCGCTAAAATCCGGCATTATCCTTAATCTTCTAGAATTTCTTGTTTGTCAGGACTTTTCAACCTTAAATAATATATATGCGAAGTGAAACTCTGAATAACAATATAAAAGAGTAATGATTGTAGCACAGCCCAACTATATTTCGGATAAATTTGTTCCGACGCTATTAAACAAAATATTATAAAAGGCAGACCTTGAAAAGCCCCTTACAACTCATTAAAAAAAAAACTTCCTTCAGAAATATCGGAAGCCACCTTTTTTTACAAAATAACGATTTTTTTTCTTTTTTTTTTTTTTTTTTTTTGAACGAACAGATATATCGATGGCAACTATTAAAGTTGTTTATGGGTCAGTCTCTCGTCGGTTTACTATAGGAACTGACACTACTTGGTCAAACTTAGAATCTCAGTTCAGATCTCTTTTCCAAATTCCGTCTCATGCTCAGTTGATTGCTACTTATATTGATGAAGACGGTGATAATGTAGCGCTTTCAAGCGATTTAGAACTTGCTGAGGTTCTCTCTCAATGTTCGGCTGGTACCGCTATTAAAATTATTTTGAAAACTAAACCGACTATCGACGAAACTGCCGCTGCATTGGAACAAATAAGTCTCGAAGATGAAGAATCCTACGAAACTATCTTTTATTCCCAATCTGAGCCTGAAGAGACTGAAGGACAAGGAACCTGTAAAGAAACATGCGGAGAAATTTGCGAAGATGTTACTTATTCTGCAGATGAAGCTCATGAACAAGGGCATATTGATTATAGTAGCTCTGACCCCGAAATTTACTTCTTTGTCTCTCGTAAACGTTCTCATCGTGGACCACGACGAATTTATGCAGGGTCCGCTAAACCTGAATCTTTTGGTGGACAAAATGCATGTCCTTTTGCGGAACGTTTTCGTGGTCCTTATGGCAGAGGTCATGCACGTATGCATAGAATGCATAAACATGTTGAACCAGGTCATCATCATCGTGGCCATCGATTTCGTGGTCATAGACATCCTTATAAGATGTGTAAACGTGACGGAGGACATGAAAATGAAAGAGTGGAGGACAAAACCGATAAAGGACCTGAAATGAATGAATCAGGCCCTAGTACTAGAGAAGATCATCATCATGGTCACCATATGCATCATAAAAAATGTGATAAAAAAGCGAAATTTCATTCTAGTGGTGACGAGAGACCTAGACATCATTGTGCACGTGTTCATGCACATCCATATTTCCATCATAAGCACGGACATGGACATCATGGACGTCACGGTGATCATGGAGAAATTCCTCCTGAGAAAATAGCAGAAAAATTAGAAATTTTGAATGGATTGTCTTTTCCGGCTGAAAACAATTCTCATTATGAAGAGCTTTTGAAAAGATATCATGGAAGAATCGGTCAAGTTGTTGAAGCAGTTATTAGGGAACAAAGGGAGAAAGAACCTAAAGAGCCTAAGGAACCAGAAGACGATGACCCAGAAGGTGATGAAGGTCAAGCGTCGACCTCCCAACCCATGCAGAGTTAATTAACGAAATGGAATTTTCCAATTTGTTCTATTCATTGGAATTTTTTTTCTTTATCGTATATTATTTTTAATATGCCGCAATATATACATATATTCTGTTTACCATTGGTAAATTAGCTGCGATAAACACAGTCCTGTTATATTTTTATTATTTCCATAATAAAATAAATTTTTAAAAAACCATATAGCTATATCATATACTTAACACATGACCTTAGTGTTCCAATCGTCAGATACGTATCAGATCGTACTTAATATATATTTCTGTATTAAGGGTAAAATATTTGTTTTGAATAAATAAGGTTTAAAAGAAACCTACCTATAGAATTTTACAATGATCGTTACAAGGACCCTGAAGGGATTTCATTTCGTCACAGATCATTCGTAAATTCTTTTTCTTTTATTAGCTTTCAGATGGCTTATTGAACTTCATTTCTGTTCTTTATATGTATTTGGTAGTTTCATAAATATTTCTTAGTATATTTTTATCATTAAAATAAATAAATAAATGAATAAAAATAGGTTTAAAACCTAATAAACAAATGCGTGCGTTTCCTTGTTTCTTTTCGTATAATTTAAACGTATCTTTTTTGTTAAGATCCAACTTGCTCTTCAATATAAATGGTATTAAATGTCACATGATTTAATTTAGCTAACAAATATAATGTCATTATATGCGATGTCACTAAACAAATAAAATCGTACGTAGTAATGATACAAATTTGCATAATTAATATAATTGGATGAAAATAAATCGATAAATAGAACAGCACGACATTTTATTTTAAAACTGTATTAAGTTTGTTTATGTTTTATAATTGTATAATAGATGTTTTAGTTAGTACATTAACACAAATCCAAAATTAGTAACGTTAACATATTACGAAGTCTTCCCTTATTGTTTTCTATTGGTTGGCATCAGAAATTAGATACCTTAGCTGTCACAAATAATTATGATAATGGTCATCAGATGCGGAAAGCTTCTCCTTGTTTCACTGTAAAGATTCACAATTTAATTTCCTTTATTTGGAACCGATACGTAAAAAAAAATCTACAAAAATAAAAGTATATTTCTTATCCGTTTTTTCTTCTTTCATCCGTTTTTTTTAATTTTTTTTTTGTAATGTACTCATTCTTTTATTACATGACTTAATTTTGTGTTAACTCATAAAATTCGTGTTAATAACTCTTAGTGAAAATTTAGTACTTGCTTGCCTCTGTAAACATATAAAGTAGCAAATTCACTATAACAATGGATTCACAAAATTTATCGGACGATTTTGTTTTACCATACAGTACTAATCTCGCCACAGAATCATATAACACTGCTTCGCTACGAACTGCAAGAAGGCATGTCCTGGCACACACTGATAACCTTTCTCTCCCGGGAACAATAACAAATCATGAGATAAATCCATTATCATCCGTACTGTCACATTATACAACTAATGAACGTATATATGATGTGACAAGGAAAACTTCTAACTCAAGTCTTGCAAGCACTCTTACAAATGAAGTTTCTACTCTTAATAGTGACACTCCTTTGATTGATTCCTCTAATTCCAACCCTGATAATAAAAATACTGTACATGATAATTCTCCTTTACTCTCTCCGTCTCGTTCTACACGTCAATTTACTCACATTCATAAAAAGAGATTATCGAGAACTATGCAACATATTTCCTCTTTTATAAGAATAACCGTAAATATTTCTCCAACTATTTCATTTCCTGTTACTATCGAAAAATCATATACGGTCGAAAGGTTGGCCAGGCAAATCGAAGCTGAATATGCTTTTAAATATGGTGATATTGAAGGTTGTCTTCATGAACCTCTTGAAGTAGGTTTACTTTATGACGTTAGTATGGTTGCGTTGCGATTTCGCGATCTCGTAGGTGATGTTTTAGAACATGGTGATGTTGTTAATGTACTTAATATTTATGAAGGTATACATATACTTTTTTTTTTTATTTTTACAAGATCTTAACTTTTTATATATATATTTTTTATAATATACTAATTTAATTTTATTAATAAATAGATTGTAATGATCTCGAATATGCTGAAGTTTTTGACTTTGAATTTCAAGATTTTAATCTTGATAAAGATTTTGTGCTAAGTAACAATAAGGAGAATCGCAGTTTCAGCTTGCCAATTACTAATGATGATATTTCACAGATAAATGATAACCCCATTCCTTTAAATCAAACTATACATCCATCTATTTCTCCTGTATCTGATCCTTATCTTTCATTAAATCTATTGCCTTCTACCTCACAAAACTCTCAATCTAATTTTAGATCTATTCTTAATAATATTCTTGCTCTAAATTATTTTCAAAAATTCACCATTCGAGAATTTTCTGTTGAAAATTTGTTATTTTGGCTTGATATTGAACTTTTTGCTGCTGGAACTTGTGATATAGAAGATAATTATTTTGAAGATCAACAAACTGCTATCATTCATGCACGATATATCTATTTAACTTATATAAGTTCAAATGCTCCTTTACAAGTTAACCTTAGTGATGAGATAAGAAAAGATATCACTTGGCCATTGGATGATGATTGTATAATAGAAAGAAATATGTTTGATGAAGCGCAAGAGGCTGTTTATCAATTAATGAAAGGTCATTCTTTTACGCGATTTGAAACAAGTCCCGAATGGGAAGAATGTGAAAATATAAAGGCGGATAGTAAGTATTTTTAGATAAGATATATATATAGTAATTATATATATATTATATATATGTACACTGATTAACTAATTTTTTACTCAAATTTGATCATATTTATTAAATTTAGACCCTAAAGAATATGAAGATCGTGAAATGATTGAACCACTTGATCGTTATTTCCGTCCGAATATGTCATTAATGCTTGCTATCACCATGGCACTTGGTGATAATTGTAATCCTGCTCCAACTTCTCATCATTACAAAGAACAAACTTTACATTCTATTCTTTCTCAATATTTTCCTGAGACTATTCTTCTTGACAACAATGGAAAAAGAAGAGAACAAGATAATATTGTAAATGAGCAATCGAAAGAAGGTGTATCTTTGAATGGTTATTTTAATAATGAAAATAGAATGACCAATGCTCAAAAAATGAGAAAAATCAAAAAAGAACGAAAACTTCGGTGGGTATTTGGTGAAAAGATTGGAAGAATTAAAGATCAACCTGTAAATTTACCTGGTGGATTTCGATATGGTGACGGAAAGTTAAGATTTGACGACGATGATGATGATGCAATTAGCTTGTTTTCTAATGAATCAGAAAGTAAAAAATTGGCTAAAGATATATGGCATAAGAAGAAGAAGAAAGATAAATTGGAATCTATATTCGGTCGTGGGTTAAAAGATCGAAATAGTTTCAAAGATTCGCTACCAAGATCACTTGATAACACATCTACACCTAAAAATAATGCTCGTGATAATATCCATTCATTCACATTAAATGTGTTAAGTCCGAATGATCGAAGAAGAATGGTTAAAAAGAACAAAAAATTACAAGTAATGCTTGGTGAAGCTTTGGATGAAAACATGATTCGTCAAACTATAACTATTCCGGCTGCACAATCACCGAGATTATCCTACAATCAAAGTAAATTTAATAGCGAAATCGGCGTATCAAATAGAACTCACCATGTTCGTAGAGCCTCTGATTCAATGATTATAACACCACTGCCTTCACCAAACAGTATTATAACTCCACCAGCGACCCCTCCCACTTTATCAGATGAAAACGATGAAAAAGATAGCCTAAAACGTCAATCTATGAACTCTGCGATTGCATTCACAAATTCCAAACATGCTCCATTAACTTTTGCCAACAGAGACACTAAAGAGTATCGAAGAAAAAAATTACAAAAACTTTATAATTTTCTGGGTGAACGTGTTCCTATTGACATTGTATTGGGTGAAAGTGATAGTGATAGGATTTCACTTCCGGAACCATTACCGGATCCACCTAAACGAAAATCTAGGGGAAGGCCAAGTTCTTTATCGTTTAACTCGAAAAAGTATACATCAACAAGCTCGAATGATAATACTGATGTTCGAACATCAAACACTCCAAGGTTATCTGCGATAGATAGAAGACGTCATCTTCACAGAGCAATCAAATTAGAAAAAATGTTTGGAGAAGCTCCTCCCCAGGATCTTATAGTTCAGAAGTTACGTTCCAGAAACCTTACTGATTCAGTATCATCCATTGACATTCATCGTAGGAGCATAATGTCTCTTGAGTATTTAATGGAAAATGATAGAGAGGCTGTGTATGATCTCATTGATTACATAGTAGATAGTGATGGTGAAAATGGCAATGATGAGGAGTATAATGAACAATTTGCTGTACCATTATCAGCCCCTGCAACTCCTCATCCTGGTAATTCATTGAAATTTGATTTACCTCCAACAGATCAGAAACAACAAAAATTGAAGGGAATCCGTAAACTATCTCACTTCTTTGGGGCAACTTATGGACAAATGTTCCCTGATCAAGTTCTTGGAGAATTATTAGGAGACCTTGAAAGAGAAATTAGAGAAGAGGCACGACAAAATGAAGTTGATAAAGCTGTTGTTGTAGGATTAATGGGTCAATTAGAAGAATTAAGAGCAAAAAGTGGAGAGTTAGGACCAAATTCAGATGATGATGAAAATGCTATTGATGAAGAATTATCTTTGACAGATAATGAAACAGATGAGATACGTAAGAGGTTAGAACTAAATCGTAAAAAGAGAGATCTTAAACCAGAAAGTGTAATTTAAAAAAAAAAAAAACTATTTTGTCGATGTACATATATTTGTTGATTTTTTAATTTCAATTACTTATATTGTTTTGACACATCTATATGTATTTTTCTATATTTTTTCACGTGTATTTATAATCATTTCTTGTGTAAAACATTTACTATTATTATTATAACCGTGATAACCATTAAACAAAAAAAAAAAAAAACTTTGTGATAAATAGTACAACCTTTTTATTTTGCAATTTAAAGCATATAATTATTAAGCAATAATAGTTGCTTAATATTATTTGTAGATAAATTGCAAATATATAATAGTGTTATTATTATATATATATATATTTATTTATGAAATTATTTTAATTGTTAGTTCAACATATTTATAGTATAATAACGTTAATAATTAATGTTTATCTGTTTTTATAACAATGTTTTATTTAGTAAAGGGTTTTTTTAACTATATATACATTACCGAATAATCGCAAACACAGCGTGTAATGAGAATTTTTCGGACTAATGAGAAATTGCTTATATTCGGTTTAATTTATTAGTAAATCATATATTTTTGGGTTGCTTTTAATTAGTAATATTGTTTTCTGTTAATAATTTATTCTTTTACGTACTGTACGTACGTATAAGCAAATTCCGGGTTATCGACCATGAAAATCCTTTTAAAATTTAGGTTTTTAAAGACTTTATTAAGCCAATATTTCTCGATGAATATTTAACGAATTTAATTCTATAAGATAATAGAATTAAAATAAGAAAATTTTATCGAAAAATCAAAAAGCCGTAGTAAAAGTTCTTTTTTTCAACTTTAAGCGAAAATTTCTCAATGATTATCTAACCAAATTTGATGAAATTTTTTTATTTTAATTTTACGTGTTTGTAGGATCAATAAAAAAAAAAAATTTATCAAACTTGTTGCTGAGAAATATTTATTTATAGTTTAAAAAAAATTTGCTGCAGCTTTTTTTTTATTGGTACTAAGACTTTAAGCGACGTTTTCTCAATGAATATCTAATCAAATTTTATGAAATATTTTTTTTTAACTGCCCGATACGAAAGTATCGGAGCAGCATTTTGTCCCGAATCGATCCTGTAGTTGATACATGGTGGTCGTGATTTATCGTATGATTTTTGCCGTTTGATGCATTGTAGACTTGGGATTAGTAAGCATTACTAGTATTTAAGAGGAACGGGTTTGTTCCGAGAAAAGGTAGCTTCTGTTTTTTCTGCTAACCCGACTTTGGTTTTTTCGCCCCGCGACGCGAGGGTTTTATTTGAGGACCCATCGGGTCGATGTTTATTGTTTTTAGTCGATTTTATGGCCTGTCGGACGACAGTAATATAGTTTGTTTTAAGAGTGGCCTGTCGGGACGACGGTCATATCGTTTGTTTTTAGGAGTGGCCTGTCGGGACGACAGTCACAATGAAGTTTTCTTGTTTTTTTGTGTATATAGGAGTGGCCTGTCGGGACGACAGTCACGAAAGAATTTCTTTTATTTTTTCTACATTGAAGTGGCCTGTCGGGATGACAGTCACGGTAGATTTTTGTGTGCAGTTTTACATAGCACTCGTTTTAGCTTTAGAGCAGTCGTAGGGGAACTTAAGATTTTTTCCAAACGGAATTGTCTGGTTTTTTTCACCCCGCCCCTTGCGACGAGGTCGACGTTTATTGTTTTAAGATATTGATTTTGGGCTGTTAAGGCTAAATCAAGCTTTAGATAAATCTAATTTTATTAAAATTATCATATA